TAAGATATTCAACAAATCGTGGAAATCTGTTTTCCGATTTGACATTTATCACAGAGGAAAATAACGCATCTCGATTTCTTTACTCTATTCCCTGGAAACAAACTTTTATAAAACAAAAAGAACGACTAAAAACGCGTTTTGAACCGTTCATTTTTATAAAATTTTTTCCATCCAATGGCAATAAAAATAGAGATGCTACTAACCTATAATTTTCATTTCTTAATCCATTTTTCTATTATGTTATGTTTATTGTTATTTCGACCCACACTCACACCCTCTGGTTTTTATAATGTTCTTTATAGTATAGACAATCTCCACTGAAGAAAGAAGGCTCCAAAGTGTTACGCACCGCTTTGAATCGGATCTGTACCATTTTGTAAAACTCAATGAGACCAGACGAAGTTTAACATGGTTCGTTCTCTTACAGTATTCTTCTAGAGTTAGGATCATTTTACTGGAATTTTTCATCTCTGGGAAGTTCTATAGGGAAAAATCAAATTAGTGGCTTTTAATCTGAAAGCATATCCGTATTAATCGAATACGTTTCTTTTAAAGAACTTTCTCAGATGTTTCCTTTCGGTTTCAATGATTCTTTCCGTGTAAATACTAAATGTTGTTCAAATAAAAATTCTCAAAGGATTCGAGTATCACATATATAAAGATCTTAACTAGGCTAACTTCTATGAAAAATTTTCAAGTTTTGAACTAAGTCTTTTCAAAATATGAATCTTTCAAAAATGCTCATATTTTAACAGTTCCATATATCCAAGACACTTTGCTTCAAACTTATGAATCTTTTTTTTTATGCAAGTTGATTTGTTTAACGAGAGTATACAAGCATGTATTAATTATAGAGAAGATGCTATATCTCAACGAGGAAACAGTCTTTTGTTTAAATCTTGCTACAGAATAAAAGATCCATACAAATATATAGGAAAAATGGAAGGGTTCCACTAGATTGCATCGAACAATTGAACTCAATCGATTAAAATCAATTATCATATGAAACACATCATTTCATATCTTTATTTAAATCACTAGTTTTTCTTTTCATGTTCATAATTTCTATGAAAATAACAAAAAAAAAAAAATCTTTATTAACTAAAAATACAGAACAATATATGAATTTAGTTCGATTTGTAAAATTTTCGTTTATTTTCTTTATCAATATATTGCGGTAAACTTGCATGTTCAGATGATGAATATGATGAGATTTCATTTTGACTATGATTATCAGTATGTAAATTTTCTAATTTTCGTTTATGTGATCGGTTTGGTTGTTTATTTTTCCATTGTTTTCGACCAGTTATCGATAAGGAAGTTGATGACTGATTTGAATTTTTTTTATGATCTTCAATTGCTCGCATTTGATTATTGGTAACAAATGTAATTAAATCACATATTGCTGTTAATGTTTTTTGATATGCTTGTTTAACTGGTCGAGTAATTTGATATACAGGTGATGCAAAAGCATCCGGTTTAAATTTCTTTGTATATCGAGTTTTTACCGAAATCATTACATTTCTTGCATTATGTAAAGATTCAAAATTGTATACATTAATATTTGATTGTATAGATTCTATTTCGACGATTATTGATTTAACCATAATACGAAATGTTGATAAACGTGAACCATACATAGCATTTAATAAGTCTCTTGCATAGCTCAATAGCTAAATAAAACAAGAAAAAATAAAAAGGAATTCATGTTCAAATTTTATTTGCTTGTTGAAATAAGACATAAATTTCTTGATTTTCTGTACTGATCATTTCAATATTCAAATCAGACGATGTTGATGTTACTGGTTCCATTGAATGAATAATAAATGACGATGAAACTTCATGAGATTTGTTATTGGTTTCAATACATTCAAACCATTGCTTGTGTAAAATCTAATCACACAATAAGAAATATTTACATTTCAAAAATACATATCATTTAAGAAAAAGAACTTAAATTATTATCTTAATAGTGAACAAATGATGAAAATATCCTGAAAACTAAGTAGTAATTTATAGATGAAAGGACTCTGTGCATAAGATAGAAACGAGTGATGTATGAAAAATCTCAGATGGATATTTCACCTAAAGTTTCTTATTCAGAGTTACAGGTATTTACTTTCATGGAACATATGTGATTTTTCAGACTTTAATATCTCGAAAAGGAAATAGTATTTTGAACTGAAATTTTCAAAATATTCTATTTACAAATAGATCTGTTAGTGGTCAAAATCTCGTGTTTCGATTTATTCATACATTCCTAGTCAGAGACTAACAGTCAAGTAAAATATATATAACTCGGGACACAAAGCCTAACATGACTTATACTTTGGAATTTTTTCATAACTCACTGTGATCTACCCCTTATTCACAGAATACAAATTCATAATTGAATGATTACTTGAAAATGTTCCTTCGAAAGTTCATTAGCTATTGTCAATTTCCAATAATCAACGACAATAATTGGAAATTTTTATCATAAATTTTAAATAATGATTCAATTGATTCTATTAGTATCTCCATCAATAAAAATCTACTGACGACAATTCAGTGACATATATATTCCTAAGTGATGTTTTAGTTAATATCTAAATACCTTTAAGTTTTGATAAAATTGATTAAATGAATCAACAATTATTAAATAATGTTCGGTATGATCATATTTATTCTTAATCATGTTAAGTAAAGTATGTGTTGATTGACAAATATCGTAAGTATTATTTAAAATATTCGAATGTAGATTAACATCAGATTGATTAATTAATTGAATATGTTGATTTGATTGTTCCATTTTGTGTTTTAATGAATCAATAGATAAATTTACATATCCATGAATCATATAAATATTTTCAAAAACATTTATTAAAGTTTCATCGAAAATATTTTTATTAATTAAATAATGAATATGTTTGATTATATCATTAATTGCATATACAAATGAATAACCTAAATGTAAAAATTGATGATTCAAATCGAAAATTATCGACTAATTACCAGATGAAGAACTAGAAAATAAATTTTTTTTTTTCTCAAAAAAGAAAAGAAATAAATCTTTTACTGATGAATTTGTTGTTGATTAAAATCTTGTTCAATATTAATATTTTTATGTGCAGTAGATATTGCAGATGAACTTGTTGTATGTGTAGATGTAGATGTTCTACTAGCATGAACTAATTAAAAAAGACAAGATATTATTCAAATACTGTGTCACTTTTCTTTTGATGTTGATGTTGTTGTTGTAAATTTGTTTTTCTTTTTCATTATATTTTTTCTTGATGAATCATTATTAACTTCAAAAGGAAAACATAAGCAATGTGAAATGAAATTTTAACGAAAATATGAATACTTTCATTTGTACACAAATAAATAATCGTGCTATTGAGATTTAAACCATTGTGATTGATGTATTGATCGAATGTTTGATATTGACTAGTGTTCAATGGTTTAAGTTCAAAGTCGTACAATGATGTTTCAAGTTCAGTATCATCTATAGATCAATAAAAGAAAATTGAGATATTAAATTATAAAAAATTTATTTTTATCGAATTACCTAATTTGAAAACTTCTAGAAGAATATAATGAACTTCAGTAAAAGTCATGTCTTTTTTGTTCCATTGACATGAACGAGAACCACCACCATTTTCAAGATCAAGTTTTTTTAGTGTT